TTCGTTAACGATAACTAATGCTTTCTATCAGTGTACTTTTAGCAGGATGAGTTAAGACTTAGTTAAAGGTAAAGTTCCCGAGTGGAAATTTCGGTCAGGTCTTGATCAAATTCGGATCAGGTTAGACCTGACCACTGGTCAGGTATTGATCAAGTTGACGGATCCGGTCTTTATCAGACATGTTACGCCTCTGACCAATCCGGATTTGATCAGGACGAATGGATCCGAACTTGATCAAGTCAACTGTATGAAAACCGGATGACCTGTCTGTCAGTATCGATAACAATTATCAATGATAATTAATCCAAAACAAAAGATAATTACTCTACTGTTATTACCTCTGAAAAAGCTTACTATTTTTTTACCAATGCCGAGGATCGAATCGGGGACCCTATGATTGCTAATCCTATGCCCTAACTACTACGCTATCTCGCTATTACTATTGAGTAAACTGTACATTGCCTATATGATTTGTATCGGGGTATTCGTTGACTTTACGATTATTCCTGATCTCGCGGATGTGCGTGTGTATTCTCAGAGATAAAATATGTTCAATTAAATTTTTATTTATTTCATTAGTGAATAATAATAATGATAATAACAATAACACTAATAAATAAATAGACATTTGGTGATTTTTTTCTCAAGATCATTTGCGTGTAAGTTTGATACTCCTCTAATACATATTTACAGCATCATCATCCCTTCCTTCTGTACATTTCAGAAGGGCTGGCTGTTAATTAAATTGATTAATTAAATTAATTTAATTTATTTTAATTACAGTATAATGATGCTTTTTAAAGATTGAAAATAATTATTGATAATGGTTGATAAAACTTAATTTGAACAGTATAATAATAGATAATTAAATTATTCGAAAAACTTCTTAAAATTAATGTCAGGTGGAGCGGATCTGAATCTGATCATTTTCTCTTCAATTGACCCCTTTCAAATGCCGATCAAGGACATAAAATCCGAATTTGATCAAATTGGGGTCAGGCAGCCGACCTCAGGGTGAGATCGTGCCTACCTGATCAGAACTTGATCTGAATCATCCTGCAGTTTTTCAGATCCGATCTACTGGTTCAAAACTTGGTCAGGTGCTCATCAGGCATTATCTGATCATGTCTACCTGATCAGAACTTGATCTGAACCCGCCTGTAGTTTTTTGGATCCGATCTGCTGGATCAGAACTTGGTCAGGTTCTCATCAGGCATCATCTGATCATGTCTACCTGATCAGAACTTGATCTGAACCCGACTGTTGTTTTTCGGATCTGATCTGCTGGATCAAAACTTGATCAGGTTTGCATCAGGCATCATCAAGTTCTGATCGTGCTTCAGGTGGGCCTGAAGCAATTTCCACTCAGGTTATTGTAATGATCCGCACGACGAATCACGAACACCATCGGAGGTGTTAATTTCATTATGGTACTAATTTTAAATTACATTGTTTGCTGTAGAAATACCGGTCATCAAAATTTTCGCTGCTATTTAATTTAAGAAATGATCTCCCCTTCCTTCCTCCATCCACATAATCTGGGTGCGGATGACTAGCAATCCATGAGAATGTTCCAAATTTGTTCCTAATACGGTCATTAATTTCAATCCTTTATAAAATGTTAAAGATTGATGTTTATCGTTGAAATATTCCCACAACAGTGAGTCCCATTTTACCGCAGCTGCTCCGATATAAACTATATATTGGCTTGTATAAAGATTGATGACGTAAACCATGCTCCTTGTCATCGACTGTTTCCCACTTGTTTTTGTTTCATCATCACTGCTGGTTGGTACCTGTGGTTTGACACTTGACCATTATTTTTCACGATAATTTCCACGTAAAGCGATGGCAAGCAAGCAGGAGTGATATTCGGCGGGCTATTATGCATGAGGCTCCCACGTTTGTCATCGACGCCTGCTAATTTTTGGAACATGTACCTAATTGAACGGGGAGAACAGCGGCTATCGCACATTTTTTTATCTTATTTCATTCATTTTCTACATCCCCCTCTCTCTGTACTCGCCTCGGACTTTTATCTCCTCTGAACTACCTATTGAGATTGTAATCTCTGTCCTGGTTAAATCGAGTCCCACGCAGATCCAACGGATGCACGTCAAGATTCTTGAACACGACTGTAGTTTTTTTTTATCTCAAGGATTAAACTATAATTTTTCTATTTGCATTTTGATAAGGGGATTAATGTCGTTTTGCAAAGAGAAATGATTGTTCGAACGTTATCGAAAATAGTTCACTATTATAAAGGTATTATAAAATTTTTCAGTCACCAATGAAATTTCATTGCTTAAATTCATGATGATTATTCTATTTATATGCATTACTCAAAATTTTCATAAATTTCAGTGACGTTCGCACCACTAAATAAAGTACTCATTCAAATCGACGTCGATTTGATTCTACTGTCTATTTGAGAAATAGAGGACCCAGAGATTAAACACGCTCCACTTCTCTAAAAAAACTGATAGAAATATGAAACAAGTTTCAATTGGTGAATTGATTATTGATCTCATCGTATACGGCGCCTTATCTCTTCAAATCCATTACTGTTAATTATATTTTTTTAGGTAAAACGTTTTTATAAAATTAATTACGCTATGTATAGACTGAATGGGCAATAAAATCTCTATAATGTTGCATTCCTATGCAGCGAGATTTTTTCTTCACACTCACTTTCATGGATATGAAAGGAAACGACGAGTTCTTCATCCACTTTTTATTGGATTCTCAAATTATCAACGTCAGACAAGGGAATATTGTTTTGCAATTTATAGGCAAAATGATGGAGTTCCCTGATTTTATGAAATAACCCAGTGAAAATTATTGCGACACTCCCAATTGTTGCAATTTCATTTTCTTCTGTGCATGGAAAAAATTACAAATGACGAAATGAGAATGAAAGAAAAAGTTAATGTTCATTAAACGCTCTACTTAAGGAGAAAAATGTTATGAACAATCTAAGTCGGTAATATCCAACTTTGGCAACTGATTTCTAATAATTCTGAGCAGACAACCCAAAGACAACGCTCTGCGACTCCTACGCTCTCTGTAGCCAAAAATATTTGACCATTCATAATTTTCACAAAAAAATAGCCTTACAATTGTCAGTCCTGCATCAATTCAATATCTAGTGCATATCGTGAAGGACTGACCGGGTCGCATGAGCAGTAGAGAATGAGAAAAGAGAAAGAAGCAAGGAGGAAGAGAATATAGTGCCACAGGCGCTACGTAACCTGTTTCACATATTCATGAATCCAGTATCATCCTTTTTTTATTATTTATTCGTCGAGTGCACTTAATTTCAAACTATTTATCGCGTCCTATCTGTGCAATTTGCCATCACATCCTTCACAGTTGAAGGATAAAATTGGTGCGTCAATAAAACGACTGCTCACCACAAAATTATCTGTAGTCAATGTTTCTAGGACATAGTTGGAAAACTTTTTAAACTGTGCCATACTGCGTTATTGTCGACTAATATGGTTTTCGAGCAAGATTCCCAACGTTCAAGTTGTAAATACCTCAGATCCAGGTGGGAAGTTCTTAAATGTTGAGAAGCAAAATGTAAATAACTCTGTGGTGACAAAGTTGACTGTTCATAATAACTAACTCGATTCTCTGAAACAAGTTCTGCACCGACTCTTTCCACCTCTACAAAGAAAAACAGCTGACTGTGAAGAATCATCGGGTTTCAATTACAAGGCTACAACGGTGTGCTTCAGAATAGCTTTACCTAATTATTGAGTAAAAAAACAAGGGGCAGGTAATTCATTCTTCAAAAAATGACTTGACTTTTGGAAAGAGCTACCGCAGCTATTGATCTTACAAATTCATTTCTCTTTTCAAACTGTTTGTTAAATGAAAATAAAATATATCAATTAAAAAGATACTTTGGACGATATCTTCGGAATTATCACTCTTCTTGTGAGGAAAATGTAAAGTTCATTGTAGCCAAGAAGATTCCGAGGAAAAGTCCCTACAAAAAACGTCCTATGATATTTTTTTCAACATCACTTCTTATAATGGAGATGAAAGAATAATGTTGGCGGATTTATAAAATGATAAATGCGTAGATTAATTTTAGGCTAATCTACAAACTTCCAAAAAATGTGACAGAATTTGTTTGAAAGCAAAAAGAATTCAATTTTCTAAAAAAAAAACGGTCTTTTTGAGAAATGAATTCATTCGGTATTAAAATGGTGAAACATGTCAAAAATTCCCACTGTTCTCCAAAACTCGATCTATGACTATTCAGCATACTAATTCAAGAGCACCTTACTCCACACTTTCAGCCACAATGACGAGCAACACGATTCCATTCTATATATATATATATATATATATATATATATATATATATATATATNTATATATATATATATATATATATATATATATATATATATATATATATATATACAGTTGAAGATAACAACGGTGTACTTTCGTTACTTTCGACCAACTCATTGCAATGATCAATCAATCAAAGAGTCCAACAAAGTGACCAAGTCAGTTATTTCTTTTTTGCGAATGGATGATTATCAACAATGGATGAGAGGAAGCATAAATGTAAGAGATTTAGCTTCATGATAGACTTGATTGAAGGAATTCACTGAGATATTTATGAACCAGTGATAAAGAATTACTCTAACTGTAATTGGTCTTGCACAATTTTTTTTTTCAAGAAATGAGAAAGAAGGAAGAAGAGAGAGAGGGGGGAGAAGAGAGCTCTTTGCTCAACAGCTGCGATGGGTAGATCTGATAACGTGAATGTGTAGTACTTACGGAGATCTTGATAAGAACTGTAGAATGAAGTCGAATCATGCCATGGTCTCTTCCCTTTTAGTGCTTCGAATTGATTTAGAAACATTGGCAGCAGTAAATTAATGCATTATTGGAGAAATAAGCTGAGAGTGTACTGTAATTCTCATTTGTCTAATTTTTCGAAAGATTCATATGGTCTGCTTTTTTAAGGCTTTGACGCTTGTAAAAACCTGCGAACCTGTAGCTGATATGAGGGAATGCAGAGCTCCTAAGGATTGGTCATTACTCGCTTTGCAGAATGTTAGAACTGGGAAGTCTCATTATCTCGTAATTTGCAGGTGCCCTGACAACAATATTTTAGGTGGGTACAATTTTATTTGAGATAGACTAACGGAGAGGTGTGCTCAAAAGGGGTATAATGAAGTGGAATATACATGTTTGAGGAGTTATCCCGATGTCATGTGAGAGATCTTTTGAAGATAGAACATTTGGTTTTTCAATGAAATGCAGTATAAGTCGTGGAGTTGATTTCGCCACTATTCATTTAGGGAGGTGACCTGCTTGAAGTTTATGTGAGAAATCAAAATCAAATATTAAAAATATAAAAAAATATTGAAAATCCAAAAACATTTTCGTTCTTGTTTCCTACGAGGCAATCATATCTGCATTGATATTTCTGGAGATAAGGTATTCAAATTGAGTTTCACCATTATAAAATGACAAAATCAGTGCTTTCTCTTGTATATTTATGTTATTATATTAATGATTTCCAAGAATACGCAATACGCCACGTGAAAATTGTGTCATTATTCAGCTGTCAGTTACACAGCGGCTATTAAATATACGTTTGCATTCTCTATTTGTCTTTGTCCTCTGTTTAAATACCCTCCTAATCATCATCTTGTTCCTAACTGCAGAGGGACCGATGAGTCATGACCAACCGACCTACGCAAGTGTTCCTGGCATTCGTGTCTATGGGATGATGTGTGTACAAGGTATCAGGAGAGGACGTCCACTACGGTATGGACGCAATCTACTGGGTGAGTGTGCATTCCTAGATGAGTGGAGCACTATACCAAATCTCGTATGTTTTCTTTTCTCTTCTGTATGAATCGAGATACGCGGTAGCGTATCGGCCAAGAAAAGTTTTGACCGACTGGGCAAAACATCAAGCCGAGAGCACCGGGTATCGAGATACGCGGTAGCGTATCGGCCAAGAAAAGTTTTGACCGACTGAGCAAAACATCAGGTTTGACCGACTGAGCAAAACATCAGGCCGAGAGCACCGCGTATCTATACACGACAGAACTTCCCCCTCCACTACCTCTAAATGATTTACATTCGGTATAATGGAAACGGGACGACAAATCGGGAAAGTGTCGTCACATCGGGAAAGTTAGTTACATTATATAAATCGCCTATGAGCTTTTCAACGATGTAACTATGGTATTTTTTCGATTAACAGTAAAAAAGATATGCGCATAGCAACTTGTTGATATTCACATTCTCGCGATTCACATTATAACGTGTGAGAATCAAGTAGTAACGTTGGCAGCGCCGGTCCAACTGAGCTTCATATCCAACGTTGAAGTGTTGCCACCAGTGCATTTGAATGTGGGTTGTGATGTTGTTATGGAGAACCACAGAAAATGTTCTTCTTCACGTTAAATCACTTATTAGAATGAAACGGAAAATCGACTCGGTGTTCTATTTTGTTTTCTCTCATCGAAAATTCGAATTTCATCCCGCCATATCTATATTTATATGCGGACCTCGGACATAAAGGCAGTTTATGTACTGTTTGTGAGGTTATCGGTTCATGTTTGGAATGTGACAAAAGGGAGATGTGTCGAAAATATTGTGTGATCAAGTATTAAATGTCCGTGAATAGTTAAATTCGAAAATAAAATATTGATTTTTCTCCGAGTGTAACAGAAAATCTTTTCATTCCGTGGAAAAAAATTCACGAAATTAAGTGACAGTAAAATGCGAACAATTTTGTGATTATTTAGGAAAAATTAGTAGGAGACGGTGGGATTAAATGGACACTTTGAACCCTTTCCAAAATGTTGATATCTTATTGAAGTGCTGATGAAAGAGATTTTTTTTTAAATTAAAGTACAGTCAGCCCCTTTGTAATAAGCTTAGACTGAGCTCAATCGATAAATTTGTTCCTTGGTTATAAATATTTAAATAAGAAGTCAGAAGAGTCCATTCCACCCAATGTTTCCCTAATATTTTTAAAAACAAAAAAAAATAAAAACAGATGTTTTCAAAAAGAATTCTTTGTGAACATTTTGTTCGACTATTCCTATAAGGAAATCAGTTCATCTCTCCACGAAATACAATCCATATAGGAATCATCAGAGCAAAAATTGAATGAGGAACCAAATCAAGTCAGAAAATTGTTAATAGATGATTAAAATTTGAAATTCGGTGGAGAGAATAAATCTGGAGTAGAACTGTTTATTTCCCTTCAATTGTTGATTCAAAAAATGTTCTATCTTATGAAAAATGAATCAGTTAAATTGAATTGAAAAGAACAAATTTCACCGGATGTAAAAACAGTCCTTGCTTATTTTGAAAAAAATAATGAAATCTGCCTAAAAACACAAAAACAAATGTTTTTGTAAAAAAACTGGGCCAAGAAAAAGTTTTGTTTGATTCCTACTGGGAAATCGAAGTTTTTGAAAAATACATAGAAATAAAAAAGGAAGCCAAGTTAGGAATTTTGAATAAATGGTGATAGTACACATTCAGGTTTCTATAAGAAAAATAGTTCTCAATGGAATAAGTATTCTAAAAAAATTCTCCATGAAATAAAAAAGAAGTAGGAGCAGGACCAACGTTCGTGGCGCAGAGTTTTTCAATTCACTGTCGAGTATCTATCTAATCCTCTGTGTTCTGACCTGTGCCAAAGACGTAGGTGCTGCTTCTACTGATTTTTACTTCATAGAGAATTTTTCTCCAACCCTTATGCGATTTCGAAATATTTTTTTTCATTTTAAAAATTTTTTTTTATTTCATTGGTTTTATCGAAGTAATTCTCGATTTGAAACCCCTCCTCTAGCCTGCCTCCCCTGCTTTCTTTTCCTCTCATTGTTATCTGCGGTATCATGGCCGTCTTACTCTTAGCTGTGCCCCATTCGAGCTAGGACTGCACGGGAAATCATGTAAAACCCCAGTCGCACAGCCGGCCGATTGTGCAGTGCCCTAATATATCCATCTGTCACACTGACTAGATGGAGACACTAGACTGCTACACCGTACCTACCGCCCGCAATTTTTGTGCGAGCGAGGTGTTCCTAAGCGGTCACCCATCCAAGTACTAACCCAGCTCAACGCTGCTTAGCTTGGATGTCCGCCGGAGCAACACCTCACCCACCTAACCATTACAGTCGGTGCGATTTAGAAATATTTTTTCCGTATTGACCTTCACTTTTCCTCGTCCGGGAATTAGTATTGGCCCTTCCCCAAACTCGTAAAAGTGAAAATCACCACAGAAAAATATCGTTCACGACTAGTGCCGTAAGGTTTTTTTTACTTGCGTGGAGTTGGCGTTCGAGCCGAAGGCGAGGACTGTGGCCAACCAGGCGAGTAAAAAACCCCATGGCACTCGTCCTGAAATATACGATTCTCCTGGACATCTGATTATGCCCTATACCCATTCATTTGACATTTCTAAATTGGCTTTTTTTTTATTTCTTTGTATTTTTCGAAAATTTCTACTGTTCAGTAAGAATCAAACAAAACTTTTCTTGGGTGCAGTTTTTTTACAAAAAAATTTGTTTTCGTTTTTTAAGAAGTCTTCTTTTCTAGACACAAATATTCAGGAGAACAAAAAAAACATTGTCTCAATCTTGAAAACTTCCGAATCATCCTACATTCGGAAACAAATCGACGATTCTCTGATTTTTAAGAGAACCTGCAAACTTCCTTGACGTTCCTGTAATTCATCCCCTATTCATCCTCTTAACGGTGGATTTTATAAAGAAGTTGAAACACATGGTCATCAATTTCCAAAAATCTTCTCTTAATGAGGGCTCCCATCAGAAATAGGACCTTGTCTAAAATTTTCATATTCCTATAGTCTTAATAGTTTCGGCTTTGCATTATTATCTCAGTCAAGCCGAAGGTCTCTCTTTTCATATTGATTATTAATTTCACATTCAAAATTTTTTTTCAATTAATTGTTTATAACCCTTCTCACTGCAAGAAGCAACGCAACTGACAACATTGCAATAACATTGCAGTGTTATAAATATAAACAAGTAGGCGACTGCAGCCATGCGGCTGTACATATTCTACTGAGTAGGGCGTCTATTCTTTTCTCGCCATCAATATATTGATTGCGGGCCTCCGAATGGATACGTTTTATAGTAAATGTCTGCCTAGAATATGTTTATAATTTTTTTCTTCTATATATTTATTATCGCAGATATTAGGCGGTTTATTGATGGAATTTTTCTGTTCATTTATTGAAGAAGGTTTGCGTAGGTGTATAGTGTTTATGTTCACTTTCCATTTTGATAAATGTTTTCCATCCATTATTTTTTTTCGTTCTCATCAATTCCTACTGCACAGGTATATATGTTTTGATTGATTTAGATAGAGGAGATCATGCCAAATATTTTTAAAAAATTATTGAAATCGGTTGGGTATTTTCCGAGATATTTACGAGAAAAGGTTAAACAAGTAGGCGACTGCAGCCATACGGCTGTACATATTCTACTAAGTAGGGCGTCTATTCTTTTCTCGCCATCAATATATTGATTGCGGGCTTCCGAATGGATGCGTTTATATTTCGAATATCTCGATTTTTACTCAAGTTAGAGCGCGAACAAGGATTTCAAGTCAAAAACATAAAAATCTAAATATCTCAAAAACTTTGTATTGTATGAACGGGTATATATATTTTGATTGATTGAGATAGAGGATATCAAGCCGAATATTTTGAAAAAAAAATCATTGAGATCGGTTGACTCGTTATTGAGATATTCAAGGCATTAAGTTTACATACAAAGTTGAATATCTCCGAAACTAATTGACCGATTAAGCCCATCTTCCATACCGGTCCTTGCAATGATCAGTGATAGCTTTATGCCAAATTTCAAGTCAATATCTGAATTCTTACTCAAGTTAGAGCGCGAACAAGGATTTCAAGTCAAAAACAGAAAAATCTACATCTCGCAAAAACTTTGGATGAACGGGTATATATGTTTTGATTGATTTAGATAGAGGACATCATGCCGAATATTTTGAAGAAAAAAAATGTTGAAATCAGTTGGGTATTTTCCGAGATATTTGCGAGAAATGGTTAAAAAACGAATGACTATTGCTTAAAAACTAATGGACGGATCAAGCTGAAGTTTGGCATGGAGTTAGTCTCAAGTTATACCAATTAACTGAAAAAATTTCAAACTTTTTGGAATGATTTTTCCCGTTTAATTATCAAATTTACGAAAAAATGACCATCGACTGGACAGTATCACGCACAGACATGGTCCCCAAACTTCGTATTTTTATGTTCCAGACCATTCTGCATCATTTGCAAGCAAAATTAGAAAATGTGAAAATCGAACGATTGGAATGCTTCCATTCGAAAGCAAAAGGGAGCCCTTCAGATTGACTGAGATAATAATGGATAGTCAAAACTATTAAAACTATAGGAATATGAAAATTATAGAGTAGGTCCTATTCCTGATGTGAGCACTCATTAAGAGACATTTTTTGGAAATAAATGACGGTGTTTCGATTTCTTTATTAAATCCACATCTAAGAGGATGAATAGGAGATGAATTATAGGAACATCAAGGTAGTTTGCGGCTTCCCTCAAAAATCAGAGAATCATCAGTTTTTACAGAATGTAAGATGATTCGGAAGTTTTCCGGATGATTTCCTCATAACAATTATGAGGTTTTCTGAAGGAATTTGAGGAAATCCAGAAGTTTTTCGAAAATTAGAGAAAATTTTCGGTATCTCTCAAATATTAGAGAATGTTTGAATAAACAATGGCAGAATCGATCGGAGTCACGTGACCCCAACTACTGCACTCTGATTGATTAAAATGAGAAAGAACACAATTTGAAAAATTCTAGAAATTCCTCAAACTTTCTCGACAATTAAAAAAAAAAATCGCAAGAATTTTGGGATTTTATGGAGAATTTGAAAAGATTTCAGATGATTCATCAAAGTTTCAAGCTTATGGCATCGACAACTAGTATTTCGAAAAGGATCATGAATGAAGAGAAGATACACCGAATTAGCAGAAGAGTTTCAGAATCGATGGTATAATTTTTCCAGGAAAATGATTGATTGCTTTTGTAAAGGAGTAAACGTGATTGAAGGGGGTGTAATTAGTGTTTAGCGTTCTGAATAGAATTTGGATTATAATTATAGTTAGAACCTCATTCAGTGAGCACAGATATTCAGAATTAGTCAATCACTTATTAAAATATTGAAATTGAACAGGTGATTAACCGAGAAGCATTGTTCCCATTAATTTTAATACTCAGTATAATAAGAGGATGATAAATCATTTATTTGCGAAAGAAACACAAGGCAAAAAATGAGAAAAGGCATAATGAGAGGGCCTCCTCACCTTCGCAGCCGCCTTCTTATTTTTCTATATAAAAATAAGGAAGGATAATTATCAAAGATGATAAGAATGATTAATGACGGTTTTTTACGCCGGTGATTTAAAAAATCCCCCTCCCCGGCATCGCTCTCCCATGAATATGCGCATTGAAAAAGGGGAAGGGGGCTATTTTTTTCGTCATATCTGTTCACTGAGAGAAAAAATTATCTCTGTTGAATAACTATATGTTCCCCGTGAGAATATTTGATGGAGTGGAACAGATTTACTTGAGGGAAATTAACAAACTTGATAGAAGGAAATTTAATATCATTCACGAAAATTCTATTTTTGTGGTCATCATTAGAAACATCTCTAGAAGAATAGGAACTATTCCAAATTTTCCCCGCAAAAGTATTTAGTTTTGCTAATAAAACAGTTTTCGGCAAGAAAATTTTAGTTTCCTCTTGAAATTATCATTTGTTCCATGGAAATTGTAAGTGTTTATTTCACAAAGATATACACTACTTAATGGATTTCACTTGATAAAACCAGAGCCTTATATAATTCTATGTAGAATAAATGTATTTACCCGAGGACCATATAGATGTGTCACGACACCAATTACTACTACGAGAATTATCATGTTTGGCGGGAAATTATCTTTTTGTCCACAAGCAAATTGATTAAACACGACAAAAAATCTCTTCAGGGGAACGTACAATTTTTCGACAGAACTAACTTTTTCTGTCGGTGTTTTATTTTCCTCCTGAAATGACGGAACGAAAGTGGCTTATTTGATTCCTCGGATTTCCGTTGTTTTCGACGATCCTCGGAATGATATAATGAACAATAATTCTTTTCAGTAGAGTATAATAATAGTTTTTTCTCGCCATGCAGTTGTAACGAAAAATAGAATGTGCACCTAGGACAGAAAACAGGACATCAAAACCCACGGGTGGATTACTAAACATCCTCACGCGGGTTGGAATGTCCTGTCTTCCTCCCTTAGTGCACAATCTACTATTTAATCAACGCAATAAAAATCATGTCTGTCCTCATAAATCCTCATAAATTTCACTCGTCGCACACTTTCTACTGTCTCGAGTTTCAAGTTTCTAGTATACTGAGTACTACTCAGCATAGTCGAAACTCAGCGTCAGTATAGTAGAAATAGGACGACTGAGTAGTAATTTTTTCTATGGACGTCATCATATTTCACTTGCGTCACCTGTATTTTTCCATCCAAAACGTCACAGTTTTTCATTTCTTGCCAAAATTACTATGTTGAATAGAAACTTCTTGAGAGTGGCAAGTATGCTTCTGCATTCGATTTTATATATTAAAATTAATGATATCCCCATAGTGGAGAATAAAAAATTATTTTTATGATATTATTGCGATTTTTCTCTTAGTGTACGGTCAAATCAAGAATGGATAGAGTTTGTAACAGGTTTCAACACATTTGACTTTATTGGGACTTCAAGAATATTTTTTAGTAGTTATTATTAAATAAAAATTATTTGCAAGATAATTTTTCCACAAAATGAACCGTCAAAAATTGATGATTAGTCTTTTATCTATTAAATTAAGTAATATGAACGTAATATGAAATACGAAATAAGTAACATAAGTAATATGAAAGACTTATGAAAAAAAATTATTTTCCAGGTTTTGAAGTACAAGAGGAGTTTCAACCGTCATTTCCATGGCACAGAGTTCCAGAATTGTTGAAAACCGCCACATGGGACTGACGTGCATGTGATATTATCACTTGAATGAGTCAATTAGTCCCCTAAATACCGTACTATTTATTATGAAATTCCATCCAACTTCACCCACTCATTCAAGTCTATTTTCCATTGCCTTATATATACCGATTTTGCTCCATCATTTAATTTATTACTCCATTTATTAGAAAATGAATCAATCCAACAACTTGTTACATCTTTATCAAAAGCGATGCGGTTGAAATTCTCTTATTCTGCTCGCAACAAATGGATATTTGAGGAATTTGAAATAAAAATATGATGCAAGGTCAGCCAATAATTTCAGTCACGTAAGATGACACGTACGCATTTTGGATTTAGACGTCAATTAAACTTTTATGAGAATCTGAAATGGATCTATTGGGATTTGATTCAGGAGCGAAGAATGAAGGACACGTCTGAAATGATCCTGCTGATTATCAGTATTTTTAGGCAAAATTGTCGAGAGACTTCTTCTGTAGACAAATTAATGGTCAACCAAATGAGTCTTTGCATAATGTTCTCCAAATCCTTTCGCCTTTTATCGCTCAACAACAAAATTGAATTTTGTTTATACAGCAGTCCTATCGTTTTCCAATATTAAATAACTATTTTCTTGTCCTCTCTGCAATAAGATTGATTACTAAGTAAGTTAAGCGTAGCCAACTTGATTTATCGCGCTGAATAAGATCATTGCAATATAAAAATAATTTTTGACTAGTGATCGCTATGAATTATTTCTTGTAAATAAAAAATTTGAAAACATAAAAAATATTGGATAATTATTTCCTGAAGTGATTTTATGGGTCTCACATTAAAAAATATTCTTTCGAAATGTGTTTGAAGGGTTATTATTGTTCGAATAGTTTATTCTACGCTTAGAGAGACGTAAGCTCTTCAGAGATGGTGGGATGGAGTTTAGGTAACTCTGGTTTCATATGATTTTTATATGGCAATGGAAATGAAAACTTACCGAGAACGTCAGAATTGACGAGAACGCTGCAAGAATACATAGGAGTCACCAGTCGAGGCCTCCTCAAGCTCAGGGCACGTCGACATGCTTCTTTGCAAGCTGACATCAATTGACCACCCAGGTGTCCGTGGGTTGGTCCGCTTTCACTGGGAACCAATTATCCATCATTAAAGGTGTTTTTCATTTACAATTGAAGGTTATCAATATGAAGGAACTATTTAAATGACAATCGGCACAAATTTCAAATCATATCTAGCAACTTTATTGATCAATGTAGTGTAGTTGGGGTTTTCTTGGTATTTTTTTCTTTCAAATTATCCGGATGTGTTTCTTTGAAATGACTTTTTTTGCTTTGGATTTTGATGTGTTTCTTGGGTTATCGACAAGTCAATGAAACAATTGAATCCTAACAGGCAAGAAGAGTAGGGGGTGTAACTTTTTATAACGTTTTTCTTGCACCGCTTGCGCATCGCATTTCTTATAGCGTTTTTCTTGCACAACTTACGGCGTCAGTAAACTCGCCGCGTTTGTCAGCAACTAAAAAAGGTTTATAGTGTTTCTCGATTTTTGTTCAGTCAATCAAACAAGTGACAACGCCATTGTCAGTTGTCACTTGTTTTACCGATTGAACAAAAAATTGAGAAACGCTACAAAATTTTTTTTAATTGGTGAGAAACGTGGCGAGCTTACTGACTCAGTAAGTAGTACAAGAAAAACGCTATGACTGACATTTGAGTCTCCAAGAAAAATGTCAAAGTGTAAACCAAACAATGTTGTTTCAAAAAACCAAATCCGAATAAGTTGAAAAAAGAAACAGACCAGGAGAATTGCTATAAAACTTCTTTTTACTGCGGAAATTTTTCCGCCCCTATGGTTTTTATTCTCAATACAAACGTTGCAAACCAAGAATTCGGAAGTCACAGAAATTCCAATCCGGCTATATATTGCTGTTATTCCCTCAAAAAATTTGTCTGTTTTCGATAACTCAGAATGGAACTGGTTTCTGATGCTTCACCAGAAATAATTACAAGGGATATCGGACTAACCATGATTTTTAAAACTAAATATCAGAATTGCGAATGAGCGGATGTTACATAAAGTGTTTGTTTTTCTAGTGTTTCCTCTATTGTTCCGTAATATTCGGAGACACTGTAGTGGTGCAAAGAAATGAAATTAATTGAGTCGCACTTCTTCTATTAATTGTTCATGTCATTGAAACATGAACAATTACGTAAATAGTGTATTCACTCACTATGTATCGATCGATCTAATGTCTCAAGAAGAAACATTAATTAGTAGAAATTAAAACTCTTGAATATGATAACTCCGCACAGAACTTAATTCAGAGGTGAAGACATAAAACAAGATGTGTCACTCAAATGCGAAAATTAGTTTTTTTACTGTATCTAGGAATGCAATGAAGACAGAGGGTGTTTTCTTATGACCTTTTTTGTAGATCTCATTGTTTCCTACAAAAAAGGTCCTTACTAAGAAATCAATATTTTGCTTCAATCCTGAGATATTGTAAAAAAAAACAATTGGCAATTGAATCTAGAGATATTTTTTCAATGAATATCTCTGAATATACGGTAGATGGAAAAATTTTTGAGCACTTTTTTGTAAATTTCATTCGCTCTACAAAAAAGATCTATACAAAAGTTTCCCTATTCGCTTTAAATTTCGAGATATTTTTGAAAAACAAGTTTTTTGGGAGGATAAAATTTTGTTTTTCTCTGCATTTTACCTCTGAATTTGGAAAAACGTAAAAAATGAAAATATGCCCTCGTTAGTAAATTTTCTGAACTTTCCGATAAAAAAACAAAAAAATAAAGAAGGGGTGGGGAACGACCCCAAATGACCGTTTAAAACTTTCTTTTTTAGTTTTCCATGCCAAAATACATAGATCCATATAAAAACTATTTTTTTTTCGAAAAGCTGAGGAAGTTTCGGACAAAATCTAGAAAACAAAAAACTTTTAAAATTTTGAGGTAATTTTTCATATACAGAAGTGGCGGATTCGTTCGTATAAAAATCAGAAATTTTCACTTTCAATACACAAATATAAGAATACAAAAATATTAGAATACTTAATTGGGTTACTGGGAATGAAAGATATAATATATTCTGAAAACAGAAATACCTTAATAAGTCATCATAAATTTCCCATTTTTTAATAGTAAAACAAACGCCCATCATTGGCTCTTCACACAGAGGTCCTGCCAGTGTGGCCAACTGGAAGCCATTTATCATGCTACTATCAAACCTGAAACAGAGATGAAAATAAGTCTTTATATGACTACGATTGAACGGTATGAGCAGTAAGCAACATTACATCCAATGCTTCATTTCTTTTATTGCAAGATAACAGAAGAAAGCAAATTGCAGTAATGACATTCAATCTGAATCCACGATTCTTTGAATTATTTTCAGAAGTTAAAATCACCTTTTCTACATGGTGCATTGTTATCGAATAAACCCAGGGGTGTGAATCGGAGTAGTTATAACCAGTAAAATAATTAAGAAAATCTACGAATGCCGATTGGAAAATCTATTTATCCTAAAAGGATAGGTCATGTACTAGAATTAATAAAATAATTCAATAAAAAATTTAACTGAGCTGAATAAGTTGTACATACAAATAGGAAAATAATGCTTATTAGAATGAAGAAAATTTTCACTCAATTACAATGAATTCTCCTTTTAAAATCAGTTTCGACTGAGATAACAACAGAAAAAATATCGGGTAAACTAAATTATAAAAAATTCTCATATTTCCCCTAGAGCCTTTCGAACATTCTCCCTTAAAGTCTCTTGTCCCCTTTCCTTATTAATCATTGCTCTACGTCCCAATGTGGCAAAGAGAAACAATTGTACATTAAAAACTTACGCAGCTCTGGGATCATCTGATCCCTTGATCTGTGACTCCCAGAAGGCTCTCCTTTTGTAATCCGTCCTATTAAGCAGCACATTAGGACCACACTTTCTAGGTCCAAAAGAAAAGATGTTCTCCAGCACATCTTCCCATCCAGCTTCATCAAAAGCCGCTTTCAACTCCTGTTTCAATCCTTCGATGGCCTTTTTTTTTCTTTCTCCCAGGTCTACCTCCTCCAACGTCAGTCTCGCTAGATTCAATTCATCACTGTCTTCCTTTCCAAATCTTTCCCAATGAGAATCCAGCTCCTTAATCAACTCGGAATTTTTTTCAATCAACTTCGTAATTTTCTCAGGCAGTGGAGCTGCATCGATCTCAAAGCAACACTGGCGATTTTGAGTCCAGAACTCTAGCATCACTTCCTCACTCTTCTTCTCAATCGCCTCATTGACCATATCAACTGTTGGTGGAGGAACCACAGTTTCTCTAAAAGAGACAATCGGTTCAGACACGTTAATTTCTACATTTGCGTACTTAGTCTTAAGATCCTCTAGACACCTCTCCAAATGTACTTCCCCAGCAGTATTTAAAACAATCTCTCCCGTCTCCTGAATGTGCATAATAGCACACGCATCCGCCTGATTCAATAGCTTCAAACCATTGATCAACCTCTGAAGATCATTGGGATGCTTCGGTTCTAATGCAACTCGAAGAATAGGAACCGATAAGGAAGTGAGTTCAGAGAAAGATGGACACATGATATCAGTGGAGATCGTCGCAGTTTTTAGAACATGATCCTCCAACCCACCAATCCCAAGAACGTTACCAGCTGGGACTGTTGGGACTGCTTCTAATTCTCTTCCCATCATCAAATAAAGCTTTGGAATTTTAACTTTAGTAATGTGGCAACCTGACTTAAGATCTTTCAAGGATTCTGCAGGTTCGACCCATTCACCTGCTCTCTTTCTCTCTAGAGTTTTCCGAGGATTATGCTTGGGACCTAGGACTAAAACTTCACAGTTTTCTGTTAATGTCCCTGAGTAAACTCTTGCAAAAGCTATGAGAGGGTTTTCTCTAATTGTTTCATGGTCTTCTTCAGACGGAGTCTCTTCTTCCATGTCTTTTGGAGAGAGTTTCGGATTACTTAAAGATGATGGAGACGGTGAAGAAGATGAAGACGCCTCTTGGTTCTCATTCTGAATCAAATTCTGATTTTGTTCTTGTCCTAATTTAATGGTATGTCGTTGTCTCACAATTTCTCGACATCTGGTTAACTCCTCCGGTGTCAATGGCTGCGTCTTAAATTCTGGTAACATTTTACGTTCCACTGAAAACATCTTAGAAATAAAGGCAATTATGGGAGCCTCTGGAGATGACCCACAATTTAAAAAAGCCGCTTTCAATTTTTGACTTTCAACATGTAGAGAAGAGAATTCTGAATTCCCACTCATTAGACGTTCGATTTTCTCCGGGGAGAGGTCGAGAGGCGATGGAACCTTATTACAGACAACATCAAGGCAGGATTTTGATAGTGGTAACCATTGAGAGCAAATTGCCTGAAGTTGGGCCTTTACATCAGTCACTCTTAAATCCCTAGTTGTTAGTTTAATATTCAACTTTTCTACCATGCTCAACATTTTTTCTTTATCCTTCCTAACAACCACAGTATCATAGAGCATCCACAAGTTGTCGAGGATTAATGATACAAATAAAGGTTTCTTCGCCTTCTCTTGTGCACCCTTGACAATTCTTTTAGCTTTCATATTGAGATAATAATCACCCCACAGAGTCTTAAGCAGAACCTTCTCACTGAATCCTAATTTTTCCGAGAATATCTTTGCAAAATTGGAGACTTGGAACCCCCAGCCATCAACAGCACTAGAAAATAGCACATTTCCCTGTTCTGGAGAGAAATAAAGATTTGAATCATCAGTCTCTAACAACGCTGACTGCCAATCGTTCGAGCCATCAGATTTTGCATATTGTTCTTGATGATCCATTTCTTCTTTCTCTTCTCGTTCCATTATATCACTAGCGAATATCTCTCCCATTACAGCGTTCACTTGCTCCAGAACCTGGTTCAAGTGGACATAAGCATCCAATGGTTCCAGCTTCATCTCTGTGATCAATCTGTCAATTTTATTCAGCACAAGTACTGGTTTCAATCCTTCAACGTAGGTCATTGATAATGCTGATCTCGTTTGGGGGCAGACACCCTCGACTACGTCTACCACAACAATAGCCCCATCGCAGAGACGCACAGCTGTTGATACCTCTGAGGCAAAATCAACATGACCTGGAGAGTCAATGATGTTCACAAGATACTCTTGCTGGTTGTGTCTATGATACAGTGCTATTGAGCTGGACTTCATGGTGATGCCTCGCTGCTGTTCGTCGTCACGACTATCCAGGTAACGAAGTTTACCTGCCAGCTTACTAGAGATTATTCCATTGGAAGCTACCAAAGAATCTGCTAGAGTAGTCTTACCATGATCCACGTGCGCCAAGATGCAGATGTTCCGTATACGCGATGGCTGCGATTGAAGCTCATTAAGTTTTGAGGAATCTACTAGTCTCATTTTGATGGACTTAATTATTATTTATTATTGGACGTATGGGGGATTTTTTAAGGCTTCTTTAACTTGTCAACTTGTAGAAGAGGTTAAGTGATTTCTAGAGCTTTATTGTCATGTCTCACTGCACAAAATATAAAAATAGGAGGGATGTGGAATTTTTTATTGTAGATAATTTGCTTCTAAGTGTTTTAATAATTTTTTGGCTAGCAAGGAATACCAGTGGCTATTTCACTTTGTTTTGTTTCCACTGCGCAAAACGTTCACTTATTGTCACTATTCCATTACGTATGTTTGGCATTTCCTTGTGATTCAACACCATCACCTTTTGGTAGCTAACTGGGCCGGTTGCACCAATCTTTGTAATTTTTAGTATCGGTGAGTCAGTGGAGATGAGAATAATTTAACGGTGATTTAATTGAGAAGCGTGAAACCACTGGGGTGAGTCCATGTTATGTCGGCTGATTTGCGTTCAATTGCGTTGCACAAATATAATGATTTTTCACATAGATTAGTTGAGATAAATGTAGTTGATTTGACGATTTTTTCCGAAAGGAAGTCACTGCATTTTTGCTGATAACACTGGGTCACTTGAAATCAGATTGGATCATTCGATGATTGCACCGCGGATGTACAGAGCAGGTGGAGGTCCCTGCGTTATCGATATAGTAGCACAACACGGAAACAGGAGTTTCACACATACGGGTTTGCGGCTTGAGATTTTTGTATCGCGAACTGATAGAAAATTCGACACTGAGCCTATTTACACCGGGGAGTTGGACACAAGTAGATAAGAGTTGAAGTAACTTGTCGGTGGAAACACAACGATGAGTTAGTTCAGTGGAAACGAGGCAGAAGTTGGCTATTATTTCCAATGTAAAAGGAAATTCATCGAACTCCTTTGAGTTTATGTCAACGCTAACAACACATCAAGTTCGTACGGTGTAAATAGACTCACTATTACTATTACTACTAGTAGGGGAGGGTAGTGCAAAATTGACACTAGACTTTTTAAAAATTATTCATAACTCAGAAACAATTGTATCAATAGAGCTCAGTTTAGGCTCATCACAAACGGAGACAATTGTTCTTTGTATTAAAACAAAAAAAATTAAACTTCATCAAAATTCCAAACCGTTACTAATATTTTTAAAAAAGCCAAAAGTGTCCATTTTACCCCAACCTCCCCTATTACTGCGAAGCTATTACTCGGAAAATTCAAGATTAATGGATTTATATCTCCGTTAGTGCTATGTTTAAAAAGAAATGTCGAAAGACCTTATTTTATATGGTATAAAATTATCTATAAAAAATATATTTTGGTAGTTTTACCCAACATTATTCACAACTGACATTATTCAACAATTAATGCGAGCATTATACAATATGGATTTTTCCTGTGCTGCCCAGCTTCGCTTCGGCAAATTTTTTTGCCAGAATATGAGAAAATTCCATAAAAACTTGAGAGCTTTTTCAGTTTGAAAAAAATGCCTGGTGTTGTCTGGGAAGGAACATTAATAGCAAAAAAGAAAAATACAATTACCAAATTATCATCCGTTCTTTTATTATTATTATTTCAAGAATTTTCTCGAAACTCCCTCAATTTTCTCGAATTTTCTGAAGATTTGTCGATTCCCTCGAAATTTCTAGAATTTTCTTGAATTCTCTCCAATTTTTTAGAAACATCCTCAATTTCCTCGAAATTGTTAGAAACTCCTGAGATTCTCTCGGATTTTCTAAAAACTCCTTGAATTTATTCGAATTTATTATTTTTAGTCTTGAAGGTTCTATAAATTTCATCACTGTCCAGAAAGTTGTGGAAATTTCGAGAATGCTCTGGAAATTTCTAGAACTTTCTAGAGCCTTCGTTGACTATCCACTGCCACCCATGACAGCCAACGTTCAGAGATGATAGGGGAGATCTGCCACGGCAATGTAAACGCAAGGAGGATAGACCTGAGTAGAGGCCCGGATCGGGGGTTTGAGTGACGCCAAGTAAGTAAGTTGGTACTCCACGGGAAAGGTGACGTCCCGGTCGAATTGTCGGTGAATGTGAGTCGGGTGCGTGGGTAACTCGGCAGTAGCAGTCCCGCTCAGTGCCGCTGTCACAGGGATAGGCAAAGAGGATAGACCTGAGTAGAGGCCCGGATCGGGGGGTTTGACTGACTCCAAAAATGTTAGTTGGTACCCCACGGGAAAGGTGGCGTCCCGGTCGAATTGTCGGTAAATGTGAGTCGAGTGCGTGAGTAACTCGGCAGTAGCAGTCCTGCTGTAACGNGAGGATAGACCTGAGTAGAGGCCCGGATCGGGGGGTTTGACTGACTCCAAAAATGTTAGTTGGTACCCCACGGGAAAGGTGGCGTCCCGGTCGAATTGTCGGTAAATGTGAGTCGAGTGCGTGAGTAACTCGGCAGTAGCAGTCCTGCTGTAACGGACAGGTTCGGAGGGGGATTTTTGTCCTTGTGCTCAATGTTTACTTTATGTTTTTCAGTAGATTTATTCGCCAACTAATCAATATTAAGGGATGAAACAAAGACTGTTCAATGGAGAATTAAATTCCCCATCCATCAACCCACGTTTCATCCCTTAATCTCTGCAATAAAAAAATTAATATTGCGACGAAAGTCACGGCGCTATAAGAAACTCAATGGTTTTCCGGCGCAGAGCGCTTCCCCATTAATTCGCCCGCTAATTAAAAAATGGTCACTTTTCTCCTAATTAATATTAAGGAATGAAACTAACGCTGTTCGATGGAGAATTAAATTCCCCACCCAACAATTCCCGTTTCATCCCTTAATCTCTGTAATAAGAACATTAATATTGCGACGAAAGTCGCGGCGCTATGAAAAACTCAATGGTTTCTCGGCGCAGTGACTCCCGACAACTCGCCCGCTAATTAAAAAATCGTATCTCTGCTCCTAATTAACATTCAGGAATGAAACCAATGCTGCTCGATGGAGAATTAAATTCCCCATCCATCTACCCCCGTTTCATCACTTACTCTCTGTAATAAAAAAATAAAAACTGCGACGAAAGTCGCGGCGCTATGAAAA